TGTCTCTGCTTTCTCACAAGTTTAAGGGCCAGAAACAATCGCAACGCACACGTGAGAATAACGGTAAAAATTTTATTAGCGTAACTGCAAGAATTTTAAATGGAAAAAAGAAAGCGGAGTTAGCCGTTTACACGGGAGAAAAGCGATCAAATAACTGTCGGCCCAGCAGAGCATCCCCCAGCCCAGCCCGGACGCGGCGCGAAAGATCTGCCCCAGGGGTGGCACTTGCTCGGGTGGCTGCACGCAGAGCCGGGGCTTTCCAAGACAAAACCTCCCCGGGAGCAGCCTCCACAGCCACCCTCTCCTCTCCTCGCGGCACCGGTTCCTCCTCCGGCACCATCCCAGCCCTCGCACCCCATCTCTCCCCGCACACCACCCTCCCAGGCCGCTGGCGCAGCCCCGTGCCTGTGCTACCCTAAAACTGCATCTGAGATCAAATTAACGGGCATTTCAGACGTCCACAGTGGCAGCAGCCACCAGAAGTTCATTATTTGGCAGAGAAGCATCCGTGTAGCATCCCAGCATGTCAGAAACCGGATAAATCCAGCACACACTCAACACCTCGCTCAGGAGGTGAGTGTTTAACGATCTCCGTTAAGCACTATGGAAGGATGAGCCTGCCCTTGGGCGCTGTGTGCCATCAGCACACCGCCACGCAGGGTTTTCCACGTGTGCCACAAGCGTCACTCAAGCCTCAACTAGCAGTGAGGTAGGTTAAAGACTCCCCAGACAGGGAAACTGAGGCACATGATTACACGGTCTGCAGGTGTCACACAACGAGCAGCGCCAGAAGCATCTTCTCACCCCCTCTCCGGCACTCCCAACACTGCAGCTTTTCATCCTCTTAGCAGGGCCAAAAGTTTTCCTTTTCAGCAAGATTAAACACACACAACTTCAAAACGTCCATTTTAAGCCAAATCGATTTCGAAGGCGAAAAGAAAAACACGTCAGGTTTGTTGCCTCGCCAACTCTCCGGGAGCTGCGCTCAGCCCAGCTGGTGCAGCTTTAGCTCCCTTCAGTCTCACAGCCACAAAAGGAGGCTCATCCGTATGGGCAAACTGGTGAAAAACAGTTCTGGTGACCCAGGCAGGGCAGCGAAGCACCGCGGCAAGGTGACACGGGACGGGAACCCACAGAGTCCAGCCTCAGGTCAGGCTGGCTTCTGACACAGCTGCCACTGGACCCTTAATGCACCTGCCAAGCTGAAAAGCACAACCAGATGTTGATGGTGACATTGCTGTGGCACTCTGGAGAAGTAATTCCAAACACTGCTCCCTGGGCTGCTTCGCCTGTTACCACAGAATGCCATCAGATATTTCAATTTAATATTTCACCTTCCACAGCACCCTCCAGCCAAAGACCTAAAAGTGCTTTAGCAAACATGAACTAAGCTTCCCAATAACCTCAGAAATCCAGGCTAATCCGCCCCCATTTTACAGATGGGGAAACTGAGGCACAGTAAGGTTTAGTGACTGGCCCAAAGTTAAACAGCTAATCAGGAACAGAGTCTGTCTCTCCCAATTTCTCCTCCTTAGTCACAAGACCTTTCTTCCACTGGAGAAAAGGAATCCCTTCCCCAATTAGCCCTGCTCTGGTTTCAGGTGGCTTTCAGGTGGCTGAAGAGGAGAAATCAAGGGTGAAGGTCTGAGCTCTTCCCCTCTGCAGCATCATATTAAGACTCACTATAATGTCCTGGAAGCTGGGCTTTGGGAGAATGGCAGGTGATTCAAATACAGCAGTTTACAGGTTACAATAAAAACCAAAAAACACACTTTCAGGTGACCCAGAGAAAAAAAAAACAAGCTACTCACAGTTCACCTGCCTGTGCTAGGAAAAAAAAAATAAAATACAAGTCACATTCCCTTCCCCATAGATCCCAGCCCCTCCCAACCCGCAATAAAAAGAAAATATTGGATGTTAGTTAGGCTTAACAAAGCGTTGAGGTTACAGACGCAGTAAACCAGCACAACTGGCATACTGCCTACAACAGCACAGCTTGATATAAAAGTTGCTTTCTCAAAATCACTTCAAAACCAATTTCTGTAAAAGAGGATTAAAAGTAAATTAGATATGAATTCAAAATGAGTGTAGAAATCTACAGTTCTTATCAAAGAGAGGATACAGTATTCACTTTGATAGCAAAATTACTTCCAAGTGTGCCACACACACCGGACCCAAGGGACTTGTTATACCAGTAACAGTCAATATAAAAGGTTATTGCTCTAGCATCTCTCAGTAGAACATGTCTAACAGGAGCACAGAAAAGGGAAACACCAAGGGGCTGACAGGTCTCATTAGCAAAGAGAGGAAGAAGGATATAAAGTTGGGAATTAATTTTTTTTTCCTGGCTTCTTAAACCCCTCCACTTCTCCCTGCCCTTGTGACAGTTCCAGGCCCCGATACATGGGAGTTTCAGGCCAGAGAAGCGCACGCCCACGTCACGCTGGCTCATGACAGGGATGGATGGAAAAGGCTGTGCTCTAACCTCTCTGCACCTGCTTTCAAAGAAGGGACGATGCCTGTTCCTCTCTCCTGGGAGCAGATGCCTGCGTGCTGACGGAGGTGCCTGGCATAGGATGTCACCCACAGGAGCACACACCAGTGCTGAGAGATGGTCAGGGCTTAACTCCACCTCGTGCTCCAGTGTGTTGAGAAAAGGCAGGGAATAACAAACTAGGGAAAAACAACACCCCACACAGCAACATCTTGATTCCTCTTAAAAAAAAAAATTAAAAGCAAGTGGTATCATCTCCTTACAGTGTAATGGAACTGGAGAGACCCTTGCAGGGTCTTGACTGCCCGCACGGACGCTCTGATCTCCGTCAGTCACACACGCCACGCGGCTCTGGGAGCAGAGCCAGGGTGGCACTGAGATCACAGGATGCCCTCGCTGTGCTGCCGCTCAGACTGCAGGCCTGCAGACAAAAGCCTGAGAAAGGTGTCAAAGCAGAGGGCTGTGTTGTCTGCAAGCGTCACGAGCTGCTCAGAGAGCTGACACAGGTTAAAACGCACCAGCAAAGGCTCCTTCTGCCAGGAGGGGCCTGGGTGAAATCTCCCTGTTGGAGCCCTCGAGCTAAGCTTGGCTGTCAGTCGCGCACAGACATGCACACCGTAATGAGGGGACTCGGCCCCTCTCTACTGAGACACAGCAAGGGCATTTCCAGTTTAATGGTCCATCTCATCTCTGGATCTACTGCCTCTCCACAGCAGCAGAAAGCACTCCCACCCACCCCACCCTCCTCCCCTGCCTGGTAAGGTTTCTAAATCACAGTAATGTTCAGAGAGACAGAACTGCCAAGGGGGTGGCAGAAAGATGCTTAGCGCCCGTCTATGATGACTCTAACAGAAGAGCTTGAGAAAGCAGTTCTGGCAGTAGGGCTTGTCATTCTGCTCTTTGAAGGTTCCTTTGTTGAGCTGCTTGAGGCAGAAGGCACAGACAAAGTGTTCGGGGTGGAATTTCTTGCCCATGGCAGTGATGCAGCGTCCCGTGATCGGCTTCTGGCAAACGGAGAGGGGGGAGCCGCGACGCTCGTGGTAATGCACCTCGCAGTAGGGCTGCCCGTCGTGTTCAAAGAAGCTGCCATTGATGAACGGTGTGAAACACTCCTGCAGGAAGATAAAGCAGAAGGGGACAAATTGTATAACAAGCCGGGAATGCTGGCAGCTCCACAAGCCTCCGTGCTCTGTGGCACAGCCTAGCTGTACTGTGGGCAGGGTGAACTGCTGCCTTTCAGCATCGTCCTGTTGTCCAAAGAGCCAAACTCTGTCCATCGAGAAGAGAGATTCCAAGGAAAGGCTGATAGATGGACAGATACAGCCACAAGCAAGAGAATTAACCATGTTTCTTCCCTCAGCTGTTTTCGCTTCTACAAAGAAAGTACGACAGATGAGCTACCAGATATGTCCAGGCAGGAGAAAGGAGAATATTCCTTCCCCTGAGACAGGAAACACTGCAGCATCTTTCCCTGTTGGTTTTTTGTTTGTTTGGTTTTTTTTTTTTTAATCTCACTCCAGCTTCCCCATAATGGCAAGAAGAGGCAGTAACCAACACAGACTTTCATGTAGCAGAATTTTGATGAACGTGGGACTGGTTCCAGCTGAGACAATGAGGCACAATTAATCTTTACCAGTGATCTCTCCAGAATGGCTGGTGTTACGCAGGTACACTCCATGCAGAATTGTCCATCCTGAAATATCTTCACTAGGTCCACGCGCATTGCTACTGGGAGAAACTTTGTACTACAGTGCTAGTGATTTTGAATAGAGGAGGAGACGAGGATACACTAGCTATAAGCTTATTAGTGTCCAAAGCTCCTCACCCCTCTCAGTGTCAGGCAGCTGAAGATGCTACACTTCAGACCTGCAACAGAACCACTCACCATCCCCACAAGACTGGGGAGACTCCCCTCCTTGTATGAGTGGGAAAATGAGGCAGCAAGGTGTGGGAGAGAGTCAAGGATGCTGCCAGATTTACCAAATATATCAGCTGCAAGGCCCAGAAGAGAAGCCAGATTTCCAGAATCCTCGTTTTGCTCAGCCCCAACACCACCCTCTTCCCCAGGGAGGACACACAGAGTGTCACACACAGCTGGACCCCAACATGTACACAGGAGTCCGGCAAACAGCACGTAGAGTCATGGATAGCTGAACACTCGCGATACTGGGATGAATTAATGCTGACAATTAGCTCAATAAACAGTCTCCTCAGTCAGCAGGACAGCTGAAAAGTCTGCTCTGCTTTTGCTAAAGCAGAAGAGAATCCTACCTCATGTCCTGGAAGACATCAGTGCTGGCCCCACTAATACAGGCAGTGTGGCAGCAGGCAGAAAGGAAAGCACAACTGCCTGATAGAAGTCTCAATCTCTGCATAAAAAGCCACAGCCCTCCCCAGCCTCACACAGTCAGGACTGCCATCTTCTGCCTCTGCTCTCTGCACACCACGGCAGGAGCCGTGACAGTCCCAACAGCACAGTGACAGTTGGCTCTGAACATCAGGAATCAGCAGTTTGTGGTTCTGGCTGCTTATTCTGATCTCTGCCCTTCTTTCCCATTCTAGGAAACACAGGCTGATTTTGCTCATCTCTTGGGGCATGTAAGAGTTAATATTTGCAACGCTCTCTGAAAGAGTGCCAAGCATTTAATCTGCAGTATTCCTGTTTCTTATGCCTGTTGTATGGAGCCTGCTGCTATTTCACTGACTTGCATGTTTGTCTGAACAAGGTCAGTCTCATTAGTTTCCATTGTCAGATGGAGCATGGGAGGAAGATTCTCAAAATCTGATTGCTGAGGCAAGTGCTTAGAGAGAAGCTCAGCTTATAATTATTTAAAGGTCACAGAAAACGTCTCTGTTTATCTGTGAGCCGCTGCAGAAGCCCATAATTGCAGCTGGGAACAGAAAGAGCAAAGCAGCTAGAAAGTTTAATGTAAACAGGCAGAGGAACAAGAAGGTGTTTGGTTGCTGACATGTTTTTATCTTGTGGGGCCGGCTGCCCTTCACTACCCCACAGACGCCTTTTCCTGATAAGAGACCAGATGCCTTCAGGGTGGAAACGAGAGGGGTCGTAGAGCAGCAGCAAAGGACCTTGGGTTTCTTACCCGACAGACAAAGCATTCAGGGTGCCACAGGGTGTTCAAGGCAGAGATGTAGTTTTCCAGGATAGCCCGGGCACAGCCTCCACACTTGGGAGCGAACATATCAAAGTAGTCCTTGCGGCAATAGGCTTTGCCATCCTTCTCGTGAAATCCTGCCAAAGGAGAAGAGAGGCAAAGGGCATCAGCTCGTGCTCTTTACCTATGGCCAGCCAAGCTCTGCGGGGTAACCAGTGTGGGTAGGATCATCCTTCCCCTTCCAAACACACACAGCAGGGAGCTGTTCCTTGTTCTGCTGCCCTTCCTGTCCCATGTGCACACATGCACACACATGCTCCTCCTCCCCAGGGAGAAAAGAAGATTACTGGTAGCATCCTTCCCCCGTAAACTGCTACAGCCCTTGGAACTTCCATCTTCAGTAGTTCCCCTGTCATCTCTCAGGCTGTCCCCTAATAGCAGCTCTGCTTTACACACTTGGCTGCAGCTCAGGGAGGAGATTGTTTTTCCCTTGCATAAACCAGCAATACCTTCAGGTCCAAAGAAAGCTCCACACTGGGCACAGAAAAAGTGTTCAGGGTGCCACGTTCTGTCCAAAGCCGTCACCACTTTCTGTTCAGAAGAAGACACAAAGTGCAAGTCATGTAAATGATGGCTTCAGCTTGGAGGTAAGGGGAGGGGCTGGGAGGGGGAAAGAACACATTCATGTTGGTGCTGACAAGAGCTTGCATTAAAACAGACTGTCCTTTAGAGAGCTGAGTTGACTCTCCCCCACCTCTGGCTCGTTCAGGCTTTCCCCACTGCACACTTTTTTTACCCTAAAAGGATCTCACACACTGCTTCCTCCCTTATACAGGGCCCCGTCCAGCTCTCAGGACCAGCACTGCTGCCTGTGACTACAGGCTACCAACAGACAAAAGCTGAGGAATCATTACTGGAACGACAGAGCGATGTGGGGTTCTGAAGGAACTTCAGGGAAGGTAAGAGGGACTAACTCCTCTCACTAGTGTAAGAATTTGACCGGGCCGAGTTGTTTCCCTTTCAGAGCCAGGGCAAAGGAAAAGTACAAGTCCCAAAACAAGTCTTCAACCCAGAACACATGGGTGAGGTGGAGTTTTTAACACCCAGGCCCGCAGCTCCTTGCCAGCACCCTTAATCCCCCCAAGGTACTCACATCAAGGATCGGCCCATTGCAGTAGTAGCAGCGAGGGGAGAAAAGGTTGTGATAGTCCTTCTCGCAGTAGGGCTGACCATCCCGCTCAAAGAAGTTACGTGACCCAATCTCCTCCTGGCAGTGGGTGCAGACGAAGTGCTCAGGGTGCCAGGTTTTCCCCATAGCTGTAACTACCTGTTGGGAAAACGAATTATGAAGGACAACTCTATCTCCCTCTCCCCTAGACCACATGACAAGATACCAGCTGGAGGTCAGCAAGAATGACAAGTTCTACTACTCAAGTGAGCCCTGGACTGGGGTAGCATGAAAACTGAATTACCTATCATCTCAGGAGAGGGCAGTCCCTCAAGGGCAGGGTAGAGGTCACTGGAGGAGCTTACAGCGTACCTAGCCAGTGGATAAATAGAGTACTTCAGTTTCTCCAGCATCTCCAGTCTCTTCAGCCTCACGAAACAGCCCTCCCCATTACTCCCAGCTGCAGCCCAAGATTCAGCAATGAGACAGCGCCTTCAGCTCACCTGCCCAGCAATAGGCTTCTTGCAGGCTCCACAGACGCCTTTGGCCACGGTAGCTACACCCAGTTTGTTCAGGTCAGACTGAAGACTTCCCAGCATGGTGTCCAGCTGGCTGCCAGGCTTGGAGACTGTGGATGGAGGAGAGCTGCTCCCGGCTTTCCCCTGTGCCATGAACTGCAAGGAAGAGAAAACAAAGACAGTAAGGCAAGTGCTGCTGCGCTTACAAGATGAATGCCTGCTGTTGCTGCCGGTGGCTCCTCTGCAGAGAGAGACAGCAGATTGCTAGGAGACAGCTACACTCTCTGCAAAAGCCAGTGAGAGCCAGGATCAGGTACACACATGTATTCTGCCCATGCAGAGACATGCACAGACCCTGGGATGTGTAACAGCAGAGCTGTGAACCAAAGATTTGATTTTCCTTCATTGTGCATACAGCAGAAGTCACCAGCACATCCCAAGCAGTCAGTACAGAGCCCTCTAAGCCTCTGCCAAAAATCTCCCTTTACCTCATCAGTTCCTGGCCAGCTGACAAAGCACAGATGCCGTCCAGAGGGCCCCTTCCCCTTGACCTCGCTCTATTTCTATGCTGTTGCTCTCTCTCTGTTGTCACTCTCCCCTCTCTGATAGAGATCCCTCTCCTCTTCCTCATCTCACCTCCCTTTCAGCTACAGTATCTTCTCCCTTCCCCTCCCTCCCTTTGCAACACCTTCTGCAGATCTTTTTGCCAAGTCTCCTTTGCCCCCATCAGGCAGCTCTCATCCCACACCCGAGCTAAGCAAGTGGAAGCACGAAGGAATTAACTCCCTCCAGGCTGCCTACTGTTTACCTACAGAGAGGGCAGTGCACCCACAGCAGAGCCCTCGCAGACAGGACTGCAATGGAAAGCCTGCCACATCTTCTGTTGGACTGCTGGAAATGCACAGCGTTGAGGGGAAGGGGATTAAGATACTTGTCTCAGAGGCTACTTCTGAGAAGTGGGCAGAGAAATGTTTTACTCAGGTCCCTAGCTTATAAATAAAGCATATGTTCTCTTTGGCCACCAAAGCTCCCTTTTGCAGGCAAACTGCAATAATGAAATACAGATTATTTTAGCTGACTTTGCACTGCAATAGGTACCGTCAGCTTCAGAGAGACTCAAAGAAGTCCCTCCCTGAGATGCTGATCTGGAGCACATTTCCTCTTACTAAGAGGCTAGATTAAACCAGACATAAAATCTACACTTGCTAACAATCCACCAGCCTGCTGCCAGCACAGCCAGGGGAGCAGGGACACGCTGAAGTGCTTCAGAGCCTTGGCAGAACCTGCCCTTCCAGCCAAAGGAGGAGCTCTGTTTTCTGTCCTGCAGCTGGTCATACTTGCAGTCAACTAGTTTACTCGATGACAAACCCTGGTTTCTACTTGTTTATAGAAAAATTCTCATGATTTTAGGTGGGTTTTTTTTTAAACACACTCTCCCACTCCCGTCATCAGCCTTGCCCTGCACTCGGCATGACTCTCAACAGAGCCTAATGCAGCTTTTCCCCTCCTCTCTCCTCCCAGCCATCCCCACAGCTTGCAACCTCTCCTAGTCCAGTAACCCAGAACAGACCCATCACACCCCCATGTCCTGAGCCTAAAACAAACCCTCTGCCACGCAGCAGTTACTTGCTACCTAATGGTTACAGTGAGTCTCCAAAGCACACTACTGCAAGGAGACTTCTCACAGGAGGAAGACAACAGGCCTCTCTGTATACAAAGCCAGGCCAGAGTCCCAGGACAATGTCAGGGCATCCTGCATGGCACAGCAGGAGGAAAAGGGCTGGACTGTGTCAAGAGAAGCACATCCTCTCTCACTCTAACCAGGGGCTTGTGGCCACTGGGCAGGGGAGGCTCAAATGCCACTCGCAAATGACAAATACCATCTGGAGAGAAAGGAGATGAGATGAATTCAACAGGTGGCAACAGAGCACTTCGCCCTTGCCTGCAGGGACCATGCACTCCTGCAAGCCACAGCTAACCTCAGTGCGGCACAACCACCTGCAGACACTACAGTTTCTACCTGGCCTGGTGATCCCGACAGCTCACAGATGAGTCCCCACCTGAAAAAGGTTTGTTTCCACCTCCTGCACGCAATGTCTGCTGTTTACAAGGGACACCCAGCACAGCATCCACATAAATCCATCATGCAAAGGCCCTTCAAATTCCCACCCTTCACCCATGAAATCTGCCATCACTGAAGTTCAGTTACGAGCTCTATGAGTAGCAAACCATGCACTACAGGATATCATCTACATTAACAGCACTAGGAGCAGATCCCAGCAGCATCTGCAGGACACTCATGGATCAGAAGAGCACACCATGCCCAGGAAAGAGAAAGGAGGTCCTGCCTTCTCAGGGGCGAGGGGGCCCAGGGGTGCATGAGCAGCCAGCAGATTGGCACTGCGGACGAGGGGAGGAGCAGAGGTCACCTGAAAAGTACAACAGTTCGAGATGCAGAAGTGCTTCCTTGCTCACTGCTTGAGAGCTGCCTGTACACACAACACTGCACGTCACTGCACTGCTCATATACATTAAGACTTCCCGCCATTCTGGAGCTGCAGCCCATCCCTGACAGGAGATGCAGAACACAGCTCTTGATGGTGCCATTTCTTCCCGAAAATTGACTTGCATGTGGACATCTGTCTAAACAGGCAAATGCAGGAAGGACTGCTGGTTTGCTCCTTCCAGTATCGAGATTTTGCCATCTTTTACTCCTCCCACTGCTCCAAGAGAGACTGTGGTAGCGAGAGTTGCAGCCTGGGTTTCAGAGCTACCTTCATCTCAGAGGGAAACAGAGTCCCTGCTGCACAAAGTGATCATCAGGACAGACAGGATCCAAACACACCAGCAGGTTATTGCACAGACAAGTACTTCACAGTGCTATACAGGCACAGCTGGGATTAGATACTGCCAATGAGTCCTCTCTCCTGTCTAGCAGTTCAGTTCTAGCCTTTACCTGAACATTGTAGTTACCGAGCTATCAAGCTGGGAGCAGTAGCTGGACTGTAAAAACACTGCTAAATAAACCAACAAACCAGAAGAGAGAAGCCTGCCTGCATCTGTGGGAAGAAAGCGTCATCTTCAGTCTGACAGCCAACAGAAACAACTGTCTTGGTGCTAGGGGTCCAGGTCTGGGGAGAACATGACTGCCTAGGATCTTCAGGAGGGGTGCCCACCACAGAAAGCTCATGATAATCATCATCAGCAGTTTCCCGCTGGAACTGAGGCTGGGGAGCCAAGCTGAAGGATGAGGAGGAGACTGGACTAGGAGCTGGGGTAGATGGCACATGGCAAGGCTGAGGTGGGAGTGGGAGGAGAGGTGCAGGGCCAGAGAGATGAGAGGGAGCAGCATTAGCAGGGACTGTCGTTGCAGCTTCCTTGGAAGGCTGAAGCGGGGGAGAGGCTGGAACAGAGATCGTCCTCCTTGGGGGGTGTGGGGATTCTGGAGGAAAAACCACCTAGAAAGACACGGAGGAAGAAGAAAAGTGAATAAATCCAAAGAGGAACCAACAAGCACTTCCTGCAACAGGAAGGCTGGTTGTTACCGCTATGTTTATCTAAGGGGAAAAAGCAGCAAGAAAGAGAAGGCAACTAGAAAACATGCTTCCTTGTGCAGCTCAAGGAAGAGCACCATCTTATACCCATTCCTGTACAGGTACAGTATTGGGGAAAACAAAGCACACCACTACAACAGGCATGGTTTCAAAAAATAATCCCCACATGGACATCTGATATGTAGTAGCAGACTGTTCAAACAGATGCCATCACCAGCACCCTCAAATCCCACTCCAATTCTTAAACATCAAGATGCAGGACCTTAGTGCCAGCTCCCTTTTCAGGCCAGACAAGGGTATGTAGATGGACTTAGTTACTCATTTTGCGTTGCTTAGGAAACTCAGAAACTTAATCTGCACCTCCACGCAACACCATCTGGACAGAGGGACATGCTGGAATTTCCCAGCACATGTCCCTGCTTTCTACCTTCTCTACTTGCTGTCCACCATTCTGCTGTTCCCCCTGGGGCCTGGCAGTGATAATGACTCCCTCTGTCAACCAGTCATCCTGGCTTTTCCATTCTTCCTGATCCTGTTTAGCGATGCCCAGTCTGTCCTGCAGCTCTTCAATCAAGCGATCTTGGGACTCGGTCTTGTGAAATATGGCAGGACCTAGCTTACGCCTTGGAGAGAGGTCACGATACATCGGATGCACGTTTGCAATCTTTTTTGTCCTCTTGATTAAAGATTTAATCTAAATGACAAAGGTAATAGTATCAGCAAAGATGAGCAATGTCAGAGCAAGCCCCAAGATGCAACAGCACAAACTCAAGCTATTAGTGACAACTGTGAGCAGGAAGAGTGATGACATTTATTTCACAATGCCAAAATTCCTCTTGGCACAGCCCAGAACAGTGACTCAGTGCAAGGAAAAACCCCGTAAGGGTAATTATGGCAGCCAAAAATAACTATCTAGAAAAGGAAGGGAAAGATTAACCAGCAGGAAGCCAAGACAGGAGGGGCAGCATGACCACCCCACTGAGCATTAAAGAAACCTCAGCATCACAGGGACGCAGAGCGGCCTCTGTTTGCCCTTTACAGGCACAAGACTCTTGGTCAGAGACATCTGGTGCACCAAGCGTACTTCCAGCACTGCAAGGAACATTAACAGCTCCAGCAAGGAGACCTAAAAAGGCTAGCAGAGCAGAGGAGTTGCCACCCCAAGTCAGGAACATCCTCCAGTGGCGCAAAACAGCCCTTTAGATTTTCAGAGGCCTCTGTGGACTGAGTCTTACCCCAGTTAGGGAATAAAAGCCCATTTCACAGGGAAGTCCCTAAAAACTGCCATGTTCTGCGCTGCTCACCAACATGCAGAAAAGACCAGAAGATAAAGCAGAGGATTCCAAACCTCCGTGACATGCGGCTGTCAGTAACGTTGCTCAGAGCCGCGTGCTGTTAGTGTGGGCGAGCCCGGGCACACTCACACCGCACACAGAACGTTAGTGTGCCGTCAGAACAGTCCTAGCTAGGACTTGTCCTACTCCTACATTCATTCAGTGCCTGCCTGGCCTGATGCAGAAATCCTCTCCACTGGTGGTTTGGAGACACACGGCAGATCCCATTCAGCTTTCCAAAAGTTTTCAGGAGATTCCGGAGTGACTG